AGTCCTTTTGAGGTAGTTGACTTGATCCAAATGTTTTCCACAAATTACAAGGAGTTCTTTAGTGCTATACCCCCTGAATACACACACACATACACACACACAAGTACCAAAAGTGGAGCCCTGCAATGTTTGTGTGGGAAGATCTTGATCCTGTGGTCCTGTGGTTTGTTGATGTAGCCAAGCAGTCAGCTCTCTCAAAAAGGAGCATTTTACTATTAGATGAAATGTTGCCTTGTCTCCAATAACCAGGGGGGCTGCCAGAGATTTTGGGCCGCATGAAAAAATATCAAGTTGGGCCCCCTGGGGGCTCGTCCGTAGCTGGAGCTGGGGTTCCACCCTCCCAGATTCGAAGGGAGAAAAAAATATAATATATATATTTTATATTAGTGTTTCAGTTTTGCTTAATTATGTAGGTCTACATGCATTCTTACTTATTTACATATCATTTTCACCAACTGTCTCTAATTAAACAGTGAATTTCCTTCAACAGAATTAGCAATATCACTGCTGGAAAAAGCAGGAAATGCACATGCTGAAAGGTGTTAATCTCCTTTTGCCTTTTACTCCCTTTAAATGTGTTTATTTATTCTAAAAAATTTTTTGATGATAAAATTCAAATTTGGATATCTAATTAAATTTCCATGTTGTGTCAAAGCTTTACATAACTACATTTTCAGCTGTCTTTCCTCTTGAAATCAAGTATTTCTGTATGACTGACAAAAATTAAGGATTCACTGCTCATAAGGTGACTTCTTTATTAAGTCTCCATGGATTTATCATAGACACAAAATGAATAAGCACACAGTTAAAACCGGAGTCAGTTAGGGTTACATAAAATTTTAAAGTTGGACAACTTTGCATGAATACGTCTATACTTTGTCCTGACCAAACCTGACATTGGGAAAGTCCAGGCTCTGTACATAATGAAATTGTTATATGTGTTACAATATAGTCTCATTTGTGACAAAATCTTTATCCAAGTTACAACAGTCTTTAAAATTAATGCACAACAGGGGAAATGCAGCACAGACTCCTGCAGGATATTAGCTGTAGTTCTCCATCATCAATACTAGATTTCATATTTTATTGTGTTCAATGTTATATCAACTCATTCACTGCCAGCCATTTCCTGATCGCTAACGGCCTTCACTGCCAGCGTTTCTCACCGTTTTTACTGTTTTTTAAGAGTCACAGAACGTTGTGCGCTAGGATGATGTCGATGCCAAAACAACCAAAACAAAGAGGAGACTCACCTCTCACATCAGGAAGAATCCGTGTGTTTGGAGCGTTATCCGTTCTTTCATAATCTGTTGTCCAATTGTGATCGGCAGACGCTTTTCCGGTTCGCGCCTCACTTTTTTTTACAGGAAAGGCCCAAAAAGATCTCCTAACACATGGATGGTCTGCTTCCTGATCACGTGACATGTGATGTATACGGATGAAGATCGGCTTCAGGGCTGAGATGTTTGTTCTCTCAGCGCGGGGGCTCGTTCTGATGCTCAAACAGTAAAAAAAAAAAAATGCCAATGACGACTTTAGTCGTCATTGGCAGTGAACGGTTGGATCTAAAATGACGACTTCAGTCGTCAATAGCAGTGAATGAGTTAAGTTTATTTATTACAATTGTTAATAGCTTTTGTTTCAGTTTTGCTCTCTGATGAATTATTTGGAAATGATTGATTTTTGGTTTGTGTTCTAAAAGCTACATAAACAAATTACATCTTGTAAAACCTCCCATAATTCAGTCAGATTTCAAACATTTCATTTCAAGGTATTTAGTAGATGAAGAGGTTTTTTTTTCTTGTATGGTGCCTTCAAAAAGGTGCTTCATAGTAATAATCTCACAGTAATTTATGTTACATTAACAGACTAAATAACAATGATTCAACCTGCCCAGCATCCAAAACAATCTATACATTTTTACTGATTGATATTTATAATTATCATTGTGGAAAAACAATGTGTTTATCACCAAAAATAGCCTTTTTATATTCCTTTGTAATAGTACTGATAGAAAAGAGAGCCTTAAGTGATTCCCACAGACCCACTTAAATGAGGCTGCTAGCTAACATGCTACATTACTCACCTTCTTGAGGTTCATTGGGTTGTGAGGGGACACCTGCTGACATATCATCAGCTGCTGATTCTGGTAGGGACAAGGACGACAACCCATTTACCATAATTAGATGAAACATAGTTCCTCTTACTGTGGATATCAAAGCTAGCAAACAGGTTGAATTTAAGTAAGTAAGTAAAAGTTTATTTATATAGCGCCTTTCACAGATATAAATCACAAAGCGCTGTACAACATGATAAAGATCAGGGCAAATACCTCTAAACAATAAAAACATCAGAAAAACAATAGCAGTAATAAACGTAGAAAATAAAATCATGAGTATAAACAAAGTGAAGGTGTGAACCCGAACAAAGCCATCTTTTTGAAACATTTAGGGAGGGAACGCCTGGATGAAAAGGTGAGTTTTTAGATGATTTTTTAATTTAACCACTCAACCAAACCCACCTTTCTTTGAGGAAAAACTGTGTGACATACTGACGCCCTCTCTTCTGCCTGTCCTCTTTCTCCTTTCTTTCTTCGACCCAGACTTTGTTTTTGCAAACATAGTTTTACTGCAGCCTTGGCGCACTCTGCTGTCTGACTGCTGCGTGAGCTGGCTTCGCCTGCTACGCGCCCCTCGGCCAGGTGGACTGTGCCATTTTATGCCGTTGGAGGGGGGTGTTCAAATTAATTAGTCAAAATAAAGTAGGGACCTCTGAATAAATATACATTTCATAAAGACTAAAAGATTGTTTGTTTAATGTCTTAAATGAGAAAAAATACTTCAAAGTAAAGTACTTGTGATTTTTAAACTAAATTTTTTATTCAACTTTGAAATTTTTTGGGCCCCTGACAGCTGTGGGCTCTTAGAATCTTCCTAATCTTTCACCGCTTTACGGCGCCCCTGCCAACAACACACACACACACGCACACACACACACACACACACACACACACACACACACACACACACACACACACACACACACACACACACACACACACACACACACACACACACACACACACACACACACACGAGCACAGGTTATATTGAGTGAGTGGGGTTGACGAGAGGGTTAAAGACTTCTGACAGAGGCTTATTGCTAAGGATTTTTTTTCTAAATGCATAAAGTTGTTGTGTCCGTCTGTAATATAACACCAAACCAATTAACATCACAAAAGCATGTAAAGGACTGGCAGAGAAATAATGATGGCAAAAAGTGCCTGCAGAAGCGCTTCCGCCAGATCAATCAGACGTGATCCTCTCTGCTTGTTTTCTGTCAGTCTGTCTCTTTATCTCAGTCAGATCTACGAGACGTCCATCTCATTCTTAATGATTAGAAACTCCAACTTACAAATTGTGCACACTCATAACCCATGTATTAACTAGACATCAAGAAAATCAATCCATCTCTAATGTCTAATGCCGTGCATTCATTTAAAAGGCTAAATGTGTGAACAGTCAGACTCCAAATAAATAATACAATTATAAAGGGAATTAAAAACTTCTGCGATGTGATCATGAAATAAAAACGTGATGCTTTTGCTTTGCGAATTATAGAAATGCATTGCTTCTGGTTTTGACAGCCAATACTGTTATTAGTTTTTGAAAGGTTCCGACCTAAGTTATCTCAAAAAACTAGATTATTAAAAACTAAGTAAATAAATTTCCAGTGAACATAAAACGTGTGAATCTAGTGTAAAAACTCAGATCCATTACTGAGTAGAGTAGAATGGAATAGAATAGAATAGCAAGCACAAATTGGCAATAGTGAGTTCATGGATTGGGATTAACATTAAGGTTTCATTGCAATGGTGCATTCACTTACTGAAAAAAATTCTGAATTCTGAATTTCAGACAAGCTTCCAAAAACACCCATGCTAAATATTGATCAATTCTGATCACCAGCTGATTTTCAAACTTCTAATTATCATCACATTACTATATAAATATAATTAACTTACTTACCCTCACTGCTATCTACTGAATCATCTGATAATAATAAAAGAAAACTATTCAACTATTATGTGTACAAAAATATCTATTTTTCGTTAAATAATCCCACCTCTCACATCTATAGTTGGTGCAGAATGCTGTTGCACGGCTGCTCACTGGGATGAAAAAGATGGAGCATGCTACTCCTGTCCATTGACATATAAATATTGGACAATGGGTTTCCATAGACTCCAATAATAAAGGGGTGCATGGTGGCGCAGTGGTTAGCACTGTTGCCTCGCAGCACGAAGGTCGCAGGTTCAAAACTCGCCTTTCTGCGTGGAGTTGCGTGTTCTCCCCATGCATGTGTGGGTTTTCTCCGGGTACTCCGGTTTCCCCCACAGATCACAACATGCCCTATAGGTTATAAAAAAAAATTGTAAGTTGCTTTTAGCGTCTGCTAAGCACATAAACATAAACATTTGTTATAACTGGGATGGTTTTGCTTACAGCTTATGAAAACCCCAAATAAAAAATCAATATATTTGACTCAAAACGTCACACTCTAGCTGAATCCAAAACTCCTGCAGATGGTTCCTGAGCCATGAGATTAAGTCTAAGTTGAATTACTAATATGAATAGACTTTTGCACCATATTATAATTTTTCCAATTTGACCTGTATAATCACTTTATTTCCTAAAAAGTTGTGTGTTCATAAACTATAAGTCAGATTTTCATCATTGGAGAAAAAGTACAATGAAGGCTTTTAATGAGGAGAAGCAATAGCTGAAGATGGCGAAACTACTTTACCCGATTTGACTGTTTTCATCTAAAATGAATGCATTTATATTAATTTTTTTAGTAGGATTCAGTGAAACATTCAGCATTGTTTCGGGTGTGAATACCATTCCTCCCTATAGTATTCATCTTTCCCTACACTATTGGACATATCTCTACATGTGGTTAGTCTAAATCGTGGCTTCTTTTCTCCTCTCTCTTTCCAGGATCCCTCCTTCTCGCTCCTCCTCCACGATAAGCTCCAGGTGCCAAACAGTTCTCGACAGGCCTGGAATGAGCGTGACAGTCGCTGTGATGTCTGTGCCACGCACCTCACTCAGCTGAAACAGGAAGCTGTGCGTATAGTCCTTACGCTGGACCAGTGGGATTTGTCTCCCACTTCTTCTCCTCCTGTTCTGATTGCACGATCTCATGGACCTACAGGAAAAACAGGAGCATCTGGAGCACCAGGAGGCCAAGTATCACGAGAATGGTCCCCTTCATTTTTTCCCTCATTATCCTCTGCTACTGCTTCATATTCATCCTCACAATCACCTTCTCCAAGCCCGGGCCAGACCCCAACACCAAGCCCAAGTCATGGACCACCCAACCCAAGTCAGGGAGGTCCCTCAGGACCACAAATATCTAACTGTGTTTTAACAAACACACAACTTCAAGGAGCAGGACACAGACTAGGGTCCAAACCCAGCTCCTTGGGTCTGGGATCTGGTGTAGACAAACGGAGCGGGTCTCCCAGTGCAGCAAAATCTTCTGGTACACAGCAGCCACCTACTGGAATAAACAGCCCCACCAATAATGGTGGCAACAGCAGTAATAACAGTAGTGGAGCTGCCCTGAGTTCAGCTGCACTGCAGCAGAACCGGACCAACGGCGGGGTTATCCTCTATCCATATCAG